GGATGGATGGATGGATGGATGGATGGATGGATGGATGGATGGATGGACAGATAGATAGATAGGATGGAGAGACAGAGAGGAAAATGGATGGATGGATGGATGGATGGATGGATGGATAATAGACAGACTTCTAAAAGAAGACAATGACAAAGCCATTTCTGTATCATTACCAAGAAAATGACATAGACACATCCTACATCAGGGCCCAAGCTGTGAGCCCGTGTCCGCAGCCAATGGTGGCCGCTAACTCAGCTTGGCTGATTTCTAAACTAAATCCCAGCAGAGTGGGAGGTGGGTTGCATCTAGATGAGAGACCACGAGGTCATACCACAGTGGTAAGGGAGACCAGGAGTCAAAAACAACTTCCTGGAAAAAGGCAGTGGCAAACCCCTTTTGTGCTGGGGCCCAGAAATCTGCAGGGATCTATCCTGGAAACCTCCAGAGTTGAAGGCCTATTTTAATTTCTGGCCAGCGGAAACATGCTGGTTAGCAGCCAGGAAAGCTAACCTGCGTTCTGTTTGGAGAATTCCAGGCTACATCAAGCTGAACCTTAATTGTAAGGCTGTTTTGGTCCCTGTTTGCCTTAGCTGCCCATTGCTACAGCTTCTTCCTCCGCTCTCTGATGTTGTGCAAACGTCACGTTTCCAAACGTCACAAACAGAGCGTGCCAGGGATGGAACATCTTGCAGGATAATTCCCCCGCTGACGCAGATAAAAAATCCCCCTCAAGAGTTGCCCTGTTGCATCAGCTGATGGCTGGTCGAATTCAGACCCTGGTGCAAACTGAAGAGCCGCAGATCCCAAAGCCTGCCTTTCTGCTTTTTAAAAAGACCGATAGCCCCATAAATGCACCCGCAAGGCCAGCCGGTGCATTTATGTGGCTGCGGTTCTTCCAACAATAACATAAAAATGCACATACCTTAGAACCTTATTTTTCACTTCGCCCTTTCACCCGGCGGGTAGAGACCTCTTTCAACGTGATTATTCATTTTTATTGCCGTTGCTCCCCCTCGGAAGGGCTAACGGAGCATCAGCTCTCTCTCTTCTGAATCGGTCAGGTTTTACGAAAAAAAATGATCATAAACGTCAACGCAAGAGCAGAACCTAGAAACTGGCCACTGGGTCGCTGGATCCTCTGCTCTTTCCCCCCTGCGCCAAGCGATTATGATTCCTAAATTTGCTTTGCTAAATAGGCAGATCTCGGCTCTCCGTTGTATTCTCGGCTCAGACATTTCCTCTGTGGGGAGAGCTAACCAGCCGCGTAATATTCCTTCCTTTTGTGGCTGCGTTGGGTTTTAAAGCACGGAGAGCTTGTTTAAGAATGCAGGAGGACTGTGGTGTTCAGGGGCCCCTGCGTGGCAAGACGCACTGTCGTCCTGCCCGCTTCTGAACGGTGCAAACGTTCAAAAATCCGATTTTTACAGGGCATGACGTTGGAAAGAGAGAGATTCACTTGGTTGCTTCAAAAGAAGGCAGACGTTTCCAAAACGGGCTGCCTTTCCTTCACCCTTAGCCTCTCTTCTTTTCCTCCAGCGTTTTGCTACCAAAACCCCTTCGTGATCCATTCAGCAAGGAGAAGCGTCACGCTCCGACACGCCAGGCGCATGAAAGAGTCATGAGACTCGGCCACCGCGCTGTAACCATGCGCGGGGATGACCCACAAGGTGCGAAAACGGACTGGATCCGGGTCCTGGAATAAACCGAAGCTGTTTACGGTGGCAGCAAATTAAGAAAAAGGGGCCGGGCCCACCCCTTGCAACATGCAGGAAAAGCAATTAAACCAGGGAGGGTGGACCCGTGACACGCGTGTCCAAGGTGACACGTCACGACGTTTTGGGTGACACGCCAGCCTTCACCGGCACCTGACAACATCTATTCTCCCAGTTTGAGTTCCCAAAGAAACAGAGTTTGTTTTACTCGTATTTCGTTTTTGTAACGATTTGGCGTTTCTTTATAGAAGACATACCACCACACAGGATTGGACTGTATTTTTTTTTAAAAGAAATGAATATGTAAAGAGTTGTTTCTCTTTTGTTCGGTGGGGTGTGTGTGTGTGTGTGTGTGTGTGTGTGATACGCCAGCAGAGTCAAGTCAGGCATTTTCCAAATTTTTGACACGCGGAGCCCAAAAGGTTGACCGTCACTGAATTAAACCATCTGTGAACACGACTGGTTTGACTGCTAACCTGATTTTCCTTCAGGAGTTCAAGGTGATAGACATACCACGGCCTCCTCCCGTTTCTCCCCATCACAACAACCCTGTGAGGTAGGTTGGGCTGAAGAGATTGACACAAAGCCACTCAGTGAGCTTCCGTAGTCCTGGTCCACACCCCTAACCACACACCCCACTGACATACAACAACACAACTTTTTTAGCCGCAGCTAAAAATGGTCACAAGCCATCATGGTGTGGTTTCTTTGATTCCGACCCAGCGTGTCCTGTTAACCTGGTCGATTGTAGCCTAGTTAACTGAGCAATTAAGGAAAGCTCGTTTTCCTGCAATCTGTGGACCATGACCTAGATTATTTCAATAATCCACGCTCGCAAAATAAGGTATTAGTCACTAGACTGAGTGGCACACCCTACCACTTTCATATGGAAGAGAAACACTAACCTGAGGAAGTAGAGTGTTCAACAAGCTAAGGTTAAACTATGGTCTCCTGCAGGGACACTTCCAAAATGAGAACATCCCAAAGTGGTTTGCCATGGCCGTGTTTCAGGCTCATTTTTCAGTTCCAGCTCTGGGGTTTCCTGTTGGTCTCCCATCCCAGCAGGAACCCAGTTCAGTTCTGTTTAGCTTTCGGAGGTCCTGCGAGATCGGGCTGGGTTTGTTCATCTGACGTCCCTACTCCCGTGTTGGGTTTCACAAGCAACCTGAATCTCTCCCTGTTTTCTGTCTGATCCTAGAGAGCGAACTGTGGCTATATTCTCTGCACCGTTCTCCTCTCCGTGGTGATCCTCTTAGCGGTGACGGTCACGGCTGCCATCCTCTTCATGAACCACTACCACACCCCGGTCACCGAGTCCCCGCCCATCATCAGCACCAATCCAGACGATGCCAACGCCTTGGTCACCATCGAGAAAGCCGACAGTTCCCGCATCAACATCTTCATCGATCCCAATTGTCCGAGCCAAGCCAACGGTTTCATCCGCTTGGAGAGCCTCCAAACATCCCTCCTGCGAGTGGTGACGGACCACGACGCGGAGACCAAGTCGTCCAAGGGGCAAGAGAGGGCCTTGCTGGTCGGCCTCTCGGACGAGGTCTCCAAGCTGCTCTCGCACGCCACACAGCTCCGAACGGACTGTGAGAATTTGAAAAAGGGGCACAGCTCCATAGGGCAGGAGCTGAACGCCCTCCAGAATGAACAAGGGCGCCTCATACAGGTGAGTAAAAGAAGTGCTGTTGCCAGATACGAGATTCTCTTGAGGAGGTAGATTGAGGCTTTGGGTTCGAAGGGAAAGTGGTACTTTGGAGTATGTGTACGTCAGCCTTGTGAGATAGTCCAGACAAGAAGCACACCCAGAAGCACTAGCTCTATCGTGATTGTAAGGCTACATTAACAGAGTCTCTCCTCCCTCGCCTTTATCTCCTAACTAGGATCCTTCTGAGATGCTTCCCATGTCCCTTTTTCTTCTCTGGGCTAAGCTGCCTCTTATCTGACCATTGCCCAGCCTGCTGCTCCTCTTCCTCCTGTCTCCCCAGGTCATTCCCACAGACCATTACAGTGTGGAAGCTGGAAAGGGCTGGAGTAAACCTTGGGGATACAGAAGGAACAAGCAAGCCATGAAGGGGGGAAATGGAGAAAAGATCGCACAGCCCTGAAAGAGAAAAAAGTGTGAGAGAGAATCTCAAAATAACCTTGATTTGGTTTAATATAAGATGGGACAGTGAGAACTTGAATCAACTTTCCAGATTAAGGCCAGCCCTTTGAGGTAGGCCAGGTGAAGAAAAGGACACGGCAGGGATTCTAGGAAGGTTCTGTTATTCTATCTAACTACAGCAGAAATTCAGTAGCCCCGATCAGCCGTTTAAAGCAATTGCTGTTTTCCTGAGATGGAGAGCCATCATTCATCCCTCTGGTTACCTTTTTGATAAGCTAAATACACACAGAGTTCCAGGTGTTGATCATAGGGGTTGGTTTCTTTCATCATCTCGATAGCCCTCCTCTGAACTTACTCCAGTTTGTTCTTTTTGAATGGTGGTGGCCGTAAACGGAGGGGTTTAACACCAGAATCAACAGGCAGGATCACATCCAGATCTTAGTTGCTGGCCTTCAAGAGGGAGTAGAACTTCATTTCTGAACAGTGATGACTTTACTTCTCTACTGAACTTGGATCTTGGTCTAGCTGGAAGCGGAGAACGTTTCAGTCTGTAACTCTAGACCAGGGTTTCTCACCCTCAGCAACTTTAAGAGGTGTGGACGTCAACTCCCAGAATTCCCCAGCCAGCAGGCTTTAAGATGCGTGGACTTCAACTCCCACAACTCTCCAACCAGCATGCTAGCTGGAGAATTCTGGGAGGTGACGTCCATGCATCTTGAGATTGAGAATCACTGCTCTAGACCATCATCAGCCCCTCACTTGTATACTGTCAGGACTCGAACCTGGAACAGCAGCTTCAGAAGATCTTGGAACACTCTTGGTTCCAGCCATGGATGCTTGCAAGTTGTCCTCATTTGATGGTGATCCTTCCACCTAAGATATGACCCCAGATACAATTTAAAGCGCTAATTATTCTTTACCAAGTCGTATGCTTTACAAGGGCAATGCTCTACTCTGAATTGCAGATTTTTTTTTTTTTAAAGAAAATGAAATGCAAAGTCCCCCTTTCCACCTTGCAAATGTAAGCTTTCTTTTTCGGGAGCACAACTGTGGTTTGGAGATAATGGGGTGTGTTTCTTTTTGGATTCTGTGAGGCTGTTGGCAAATCTTGTCGATGTTTAATCTTGCATCTTCTCCCATGCAAACGTGCAATGCTACATAAACTCCTTTCCATTAAACAGCTCCAGACTCGGTCTCTTTTTAACTGGAAATCGTGTAATTTTGGAAAACAGCAGGCACAAGACCAAACAGACCACAGAGATTGTTTCTTTGTTGATGTATAACAGAGCTTTCTTCGCCACCACAAATTTCTTTTCTCCGTAACTTCTTGCTCCAAGAAGTTCTTCAGGGCTTTTATCTCGTTTGGAAAAAGCTTAGCTGCGGCTTTCATCTCGAGGAATGGAAAATTGGGCTGGATCTGTGGGGCTTTCTTAGCAATATGGAAATCATTTGCTCTTACCTTCTGCAGTGTTTCTTTGACTGAGGGGTTCCTGGTGGTCTCCTCTCCAATTAATAAGCAAGCTGGACTCTACTTAGCTCCAAGCATTGCAAAAGGCAGCGAATTGCTTCTGTTTCGCTGGTAAGAAAACTCCTCGGACGTAACTCTATTAAGTCACCAAGAGTCGAAACGGAGGGAGATTTTGTAATTCAGACCCTCCTGAGATCTTTCCTTGGGTTGGAACCAAAGTGTGGGAAGCCATGGTTTTAAACTGCGGTCTTTCTCCTCCTATCCTAAAAATGTTTTGCTCCTTCCTTGCAAAGGAGGCTGTATAAACTGCCAGCTGGGTACAAAAAGTCAAAACAGGAGCCAAAATTCGATTGTGCACCATGAACTTTCAGGACTATGTAGGATTCCCAAAAGCTTGGGGTGTCTTCTCAGAGACCTTCAATCAGGGTTAGTGGGACAGAAGGTGAAAATAATGGAATGCTGGATTGGAGAGCCGTTGTGGGCACTGCGTTTATTTTTAATTAAATTTAACTGTCCATAAAACAAAATTTAATAGAGATTTTTGTCCGGGTTCCACGCATTCCTTTATGGATGGGGCCTCTCTCCACCCCCCCGAAACCATTTTTTAACAGCTGCGAAAAAGTGGTTATAAGCCCTGATCTCAAGGAACAGGAGACAGGATAAAGTAAATACTGACTTGTATTTTTATTCCACATCAATCATCTTTATTAATTAATTAATTTATTATTAAATTTCTATGCTGCCCATCTCCCCGAAAGGGTGACTTTGGGAGACTCAATAATAATTATTCAACAATCACCCTCTATGCTCTTTTTCAGTGTTTCTCAAGCTTGGCCACTTGAAGATGTGTGGACTTCAACTCCCAGAATCCCCCAGCCAGCCCCAGGGAATTCTGGGAGCTGA